TTATTGAAATGTTCACCGCTCTTGACCGGCAGTATCCCAAATCTGTGTGTATGGTGAGAACATCTCAATCTTAAATGATTAATCTCTTCCATAAACTTCAAACAGATCAAAGGATACAGAACAATTTAATGAATACCACTAGCAAAAAATATAACCAAACATTGATCTTTTACCAAGTAGAAAGCGTCAAGCACTAGCCCAAACCAACACTGTATCTTATATACGATGCACAATGGCCATCATTTCGAACATCATAAAGATTAACTTTACAACAAAAAACAAAAAAATATTTTTTTGCTCTTTCCAAATTTGATTTTTATAAAAGGCCTCGTGATTCATAAAATTGCATCAAAATGAGATTGGAAGATAATGCAAAGAAATTTTGAACAAGTGAAAACCCATGATGCAGTAAAAGTGTCAAAAGAGTTGCATGAAAGAAAACAAGTGAAAAGACACTTATATTATAAACTTAAGAATACTAAGGTTTACATAGAAACTCTAATGCTTGAGAATAGAAGGCACTCTAGTTACATTCATTTCAACAGCAACACAAGCCACTTGGTGAATCTGAGAAAATAGGGTTTTATAAAACTAGTACAAACACATTGATAAGCTGTGAGAAAACTGATAAAGATTATATAGAAGATGATAATGAAATTGAATAACATAATAGCTGAGCTCAAAGCAGAATGCCATTTATTTATAATCTATAACATCTATAACAATATATAAAGGAAGTATTTCTTTTAGGTGTCCACTTTTAAAAGACAATTATACCCCTATATTTGTATTCTAATTTTTTATCCACTAATATATCTAAGGATTAAATAGGAAAAGTATGCATATAAAAAATAAAAACTACTTTTTAAAAAATAGTAACTACTAACTTATTTTAAAAAAATATTTATTTTCTTTTCACGGAGGCACAAAGTGCTTTTTTCATTGCTAGTTAAATCATAACTGGAGAACACATTATAAAAGACTACACATTTTTATCCAAGAAGAAACAATATGTTCTTGCATCTCTCACCTGCAATGTGAACAACCTATCTTCAAATTGAACTTCCTTGGTAAGAAAATCTGCACCGATGGTTGCCTTATACTGATTACTAAATTTACGGTTCACATACCTAGATGCAAAGGGGGAAAATAATGATCATGATAACAGAAATAAAAATTAAAAAAAAATAGCCATCTGGCATTTCCTTGAAGTCATAAAAATGAATTTTAAAAGAAAAATCCGAGATTTAGACATACTGATTCATCAGTGACGTTTTACCAACCCTGCCAAAAAAAATTAAACGAAGAATGTCAATTAGCAGAGAGATCTTGGTGAATAACAAACTCAACAGCAATTGCATCGAACTGGCATCACAAGCTTTCAAATATCGGTATGCATGGACAAGATAAGAAGCCAACCCATGTTAGAAAATTGCAAATCTATAGAATCTATAACCATTTTTCTCGTTTTAATCCTTCAAAAAAGCTTATTTTGACAAGAAAGTTTCATGTTTTCACGAATCCAAACACAATCATGAATCACTTCCATTTCCCCCTAAATTTCTAACGCCTCGTCTTCCTGGAAGAATTTTCCATTAATCTTGATTGCAAAACAAAAAGAAGATCGAAACTTTCAATTAAAACTACGCACTTTGAAGACAAATACAACAACCCTTTTTGTATTCTGACCATACGATGTGATTTCACCCATTTGTTGATTAAATTGAAAAGAGAAAAAGTTTGAAATTAAGAGAAGAAGAAGAAGGGTACCCGCTATCTCCGAGGATTATGACCTTCAATAACATGCGGCGGCGAGATGCCATGGATCAGGAACTGTGTTTGAGTCGAAAATGAAAAGGTTTTGTGGGAAATATTTGGGACCCAAAAGTTGTGTATGGAAGTGTATAGAGTTATTTGCGCGACAACGTTTGAAAGACAGATGGAAGAAGAGCTAGTAACCGACTAAACGACGAATGCCAGCCATGATTCACTACTATCTTTTTTCCCAAACTGCCCATGCATCTTCATTTAACTACACTTTTTTAACTTGCATTTTATTAAGTTTTGTCATCTGAAAAAAATTAACTCCAAACTATTTTGGTTCTTAAAAAGCATGTGATCTTAATTCATTATCTCAAGTATAAAACGTAACGTCAAATTATCTTTGTAAGTGAGGATGACGAAGTTAATATAATTAATTATTAATTTCTATAGCTGAAAACTAAATTAATTTTATTTTTTTTTATTGAAATTCTTTCATCCATAAAGACAGACACCAGAATTCTAACTTAGGACCTTTTAACTCTCCAATGCTAAGCTAAAGTTAGCGGTTATTTTCTTTATTGAAATTCTTTTAATTTTGGTACATTTTTATTGAAATGTTCACATATATGAAAAATTAAATAGGCATACAAATTTTATTTAATTTTCTAAGTGGGTACTAATGTCTATTTATATTTTCATAAATCAGAGTATACCACTAATTTCTTTAAACGATAATTTTAAAATATTGAAAATATAAATTTAAATTTAAATTAAAAAAATGCTTAATTATGTTGTAGTCCTTTACATTTAGGGTAATTATTTTTTGTCTCCCCAAATTTAAATTTATGATTTTAGTCCCTATAATTTAAAACATATATATTTTAATCTCTGTAAATATTTTTTTAGTCCCTGAAACTTAAAACATGTATTTTTAGTCCTCAAAATATTAAAAAATATTATTTTAGTTCCTTAAATTTATAATTTATAATTTCTGTCCTGTAATTTTAAAAATATTATTTTAGTCTTTTAGGATCATTGATAGCATAATTGACAATGATTGAATAAGATAATTTTATAGTATTAGTTTGTCTAATATAATTTTTTTACTAACATTGACATTAGTAATAATATAATTGACTATAACAAATTAAAATAATTTTATAATATTATTAATAACATAATTGACAATGACAGATTTGTAGTATCAATTGGTCTAATGTGATATTTTTATTGACAACAACATTTAAGTAGAGGGACTAAAATAATATTATTTTTATATTTTAAGAACTAACACATATGTTTTCAATTTAAGGGACCAAAATATAAAATTTGAATTTAAGCGATCAAAATAATTTTTTTATATTTTTGAAACTGAAAATACAAATTTTAAATTTTAGGGACTATACCTCAATTTGAAGGATTAAAAACATAATTAAATCAATATAAAATCATAAATATGACCTAATATTGTGATTCATTTTTAATATGAGATATGATATTTTGAGTGTTTATTTTTGTTATAATAAGTTTAACACGATTTCATTTATGGCCAAAGTTAACAACTAACCTTTTTAAGAATTTTCATTAAAATTATGAGGGAAGTTGAATTTAATCTCAAATTTTAATTAGTAAGAGTAAAAATACTTAACCAGTTATATTATTCTTGCAACATTTTGAATTTAGTATACTATATACTTTTGATTTTCTTTTATAAGTAAAAAAGAAACTCACATTTTAAATATAAATAAATTTCAACTTTAATGATATTTTTCTAAAGAATTTTTTAAATATTTGATTGCATTACTTTTTTAAACATTTATAATAAACAAATTTTAACTTTGATCATACTTTTCTAAAGTTATTTTTTAATATTCAATTGCATTACTCTTTTAGACATTTATAAAGAATATTATAAAATTAGTAAAATTTAATATAATTAAAAAAAAAATTAACATGTGTGTAATCATTATTATTTTTATAGAAGAGAAACGATGATATGTGACTTGAATAGTAAGTACGTGACTAAATGGCAAGCGTCCGATGATAGCCACATGTTATAGAATGTTGTTTCTAGTAACACGGATGAGGACAACATTGTGTCGCCAAACTTGGAACTTATTAAAAGGGGCAAAATGTAGACACAAGTAAAAGGCAGTCTAGTTATCTTTTCCCTTCACAAAAAAACTTTATTTTTTTTTTCTCAAAATGTATTTTAAAAATATTTTTAATCTTGAAGGAACACAATCATTGTGTATATATGTTGTTTGATTTTCTTTTTCATTTTTTTTTACCAAAGACAACTAAACACATACCGAATATACATTTTTACAAGAAAATTTTAACTATGTTTGAGAACCCATTTACGTCAACACAAACAAAAAAATTCCACTTTCCCATTCACACGAGGTTAAATTTTATATTGTCCGTTTAAGTGGCTTGGAAGGCCACTCAAAAAACACTCTTCATTACACGCATGAAAATATGTATTTAACTCTTTGAAAGCGAATTAAAATTGTTATCACCCTTGATTTAAAGTTAACCGCACCAAAAAGTATAGACATGATAGAGACCAGAAAGCATAAAAATAAATAAATAAAAAGTACTTTGGTCGCACCAAGATTGCTGCTACACCGGTTCTCTTTGGAGGCAAAAAACCTGATTGACACCTTATCGGTATTCCTGGCTAAATAAGCCGGCTATTGTGTACCTTATGAACCCCCCAACCCATACAAAGAAGAAAACTGAGTAGCTACTATACTAGCCTTAAACACCAGGCGAAGGCTCATATTATGCATTATCACAAAGCTCACCAAATAAATACAGAATACTCTCATCCTCAACACTTCTAATTCCCAATGTCAGGATTTCCCAGCTTTGAAGAATGAATCAAGCTTACAAAGCTTCACGTGTATCAAATAATTCAGGAATCTTAATAGTGAAACAAGTTAGACAATGAAAATCATGGGGGGAAAAAAGGACACAACCCTAACTACTATTCATCCTGTGCAAGCCGATTCTTACATTGGACCTGTAAAATATACCAACAAATTATATGTACCAATCTCGTGGGTGCACTAGCAATCTGACGTTGGGATCGCAATTTTGCAAGACGTTGGAATCATCAATCAAGAGTTCATCGCAGAATCACCGTTGCTACTCTTCAAATTCCCCGTTTCCATTTCCTGCGTATTTTGCTGGCCGGAACTGGTCGAGATGGATGGATGTTGCCCATACTCGCTGCTAGGACCACTGTACTCACTAATGCCTTGCTCTTGGGTTTCCAGTGCCAGCTTCTTGAACTTCTTTAGGTCTTCTGAGTATTGGACACTATCATAACCAGAAATCTCAAAGGAACCAAAAACTCTGCTGTGTCCAGGTGTGCTCCCCTTATTTAGATCTTCTAGAGAAATATGTCCTTCCAGAGCTCGAACAACCTGCTTAATGTAATTCATTTATCATTGTTACAGGAAAGCACCAGATTTCAGTTAGCCAATGGTCAGACTGGATCATGAATTTCTAAATTTCAAAAATTCATCAGCTACTAAATCACATATCCTGATAACACTTTGTAGTTATAACACAACGCTGGACTATTTTTGTCCAAGAGAAACAGGAAAATGTCTTTCAGGGGGGCATTTTACTACATACTTTGTCAGAGACAAACAGCCAAAGCAATTCAAATAGACACACAGTTTATTCTCAACCGTATCTTCAGATTCAGCAAACTCACCTGGCTCATTCGAGGACGGAGCCTGGCTGAATGGCGCACACAAGTTGCAGCACAAGCAGTCATTCGGATTATCTCGTCTAGGTTGTAATTCGTCTGCAATCTTGGATCAACAAGTCCATTAAAGTTTCCATTTTCCAAAGCTTGGGACAGTAAAGGCCTTGCCTGTAATTTATACACAATGTTTCAGTACAAGATTCTTTTTAGGGGTATAATTGTCAGCATAAGACTGTCTTCTCAAATTGTTCCAGAATACCTAAATATTATTTCAGCATCCATTCAATCAAAAGCATAATTTCTTGCAAATAATTGAATGATGGTTGCAAACTATAATCACCTCCATCCAATGTTGATACACAGTTGGCATCTAAAACAATTTATTTAAGACAAATTTCAAGGTAATCTGAACTGTCATTAATCTCAAGATAAGAGGCGATCAGATTTTATTGATTTCAAGTGTATCAAATAATTTGTCCACTGTGCCATGTAACATAGCTTTCGAAATTTTTAAAACACCCCGAGGAATAAGCTTTTTGAACAAGATTTGCTCACTTAACTGAGGTAAAAAAAAAAAAAAAAAAAGGTTAAAAGCATTCAAGATTGCAAATTGAAGAAAGAGTATAAACACAAATACAACATAGAATGCAAAATAGTGATCACAGGCACTCCTCTCTAAATGTTCTCAAGCCCGGAAATATTCATTAACTGACCCAAAAATAAGAAAGATGCCTAAGGAGCACATTTTGTCAGACCATAAATACCATGTTTTACACCTTAGTTATGCATAACTATCAAGACATCAATGAAGTACTGTATACTACACAGTACACACCCATTCAACCATGCTGTCGTCTATGAAGGGTTGAGTTTTATCGACAGGTTTCCGTCCAGTAATCAACTCCAAGAGGACAACACCAAAGGAAAAAACATCTGACTTTTCAGTGAGTTTCCCACTAGCAGCATATTCTGGAGCCATGTATCTACATTAAATGAATTTAGAGTTTCACTAAGATTCCAAGATATAATTAATAGAAAAAGGAAAAATAAAATCAATGACACATACTGCCCAATAGAAGTATTTCATAATTAGATTCAGGAGAAAATAATACAAATAATTAATCTGACCCAAAAGTTCCCATCACTCGAGTAGAAACATGGGTTTCTGTATCTGATGAAAATTTTGCAAGTCCAAAATCTGCAACCTGAACAAAAGATACTAAAACATTGATGTAAATAGATATTTAAGTGCTAAATGTGAAAATGAACAATTCCAATAGCTTTTATTTCATTCAACCATTCATGGTACTGCATTTAATTCTCTTGTTTTCTATAGGCTGCCTATTGCATTCCACCTTGGTCTAGGGAGGCTCACTTTACAAATGCAGAAAACAGTTTGCAAAGTAGAAAGTGAAATAGATTCCAGTTCATCCACCTGCTCATCTTGTTCACCATTAAAGTGAGAGGCTCTTTAATATGTTGATTATTGATTATGTTTGCATGATGAATCATGCATAGCTTTATAGCATTTCTCAACAGTAAAACAGGCATAATCTGCTTTGTGGACGAAAGTACTTGAACAGGGAAAAGAAGATTTCTTTGGATTCAAAAAAATAATGAGTATAAACATCTATTTATCAAATTATATCTGGGATTGCAGGATAGATGTAATAAATTTTACCTTAGCCTCAAAACTATCATCAATAAGGATGTTAGATGCCTTGATGTCACGGTGTATGATTTTGGGATTACCTGAAAAGATATTAGACTGAAAAACGTAAATCTCCAATCTAACATCATGAACTAAAGACACTGTCAGATCTTCGGAGTACATAATTTATTTATAATAAACTCACAATCCTCATGCAGATATGCCAATCCTTTTGCAGACCCTATAGAAATCTTCATCCTTGTTGACCAGTCCATACATGGTATGTCCTTTCCTGGTATGATATTCATGATTCACTTAGAACTACAGTATCATACTTAAATTATCAAACTTCTACAGAGACAGTGGAGTGCTAATCACTCGATCACTAACCAGATCAGGAAAGATTTTTTCATTCTTGTTTAAAAATGACCATATTATAATATGTTCTGCACATAAGGCCAAAATATATATTGAAAAGCAAACCTTTGCACATGAAACAACCAACATTTTATTGCATGCAAATATTATGCTCTACACAACTTTACCACGTTTTACAACCAAAAAATCATCATGCTTATTTGTGACATTTGAGACATCATCCTATCTCAGAAAAGAATTGTGAAATTGAATTTGTATCCTACATGAGCTAATATAAATCTTACCATGCAAATGAAATTCTAGTGTATTATTTGGCACATACTCATAGACAAGCATCCTCTGGCTGTCTGAGATGCAGTATCCAACTAGGGAAACAAGATGTCTGTGATGCACACGGCTAATGACCTCAACTTCTGCATGGAACTCACGCTCCCCCTGTCTACTCTCAGATTTCAACTGCTTGACTGCAACAATTTTCCCATTTGGGAGAACTCCTTTGTGGACATAGCCAAAACCACCTTGACCAAGAAGATTTGATTTGGAGAATCCATCAGTTGCCATAGTCAATTCATTATATGTAAAAGTGCTTTGAGATAGCGCCAAGGAAATGGCAGGAGATGGGGAAATGTATGGCTTTGTCTTCTCAGACCCCAAACTACTACTAGTGCTCGAAGAATTCACAGCAGGTGTGGGGAGACCAGCAGATGACTGTTTTGGATTTAATAAAGCCCCTGTAGGAGGCTTGAGCGGCAAGCCTTCTTTACCATCTGTCGTTGGAGGAACACTGTCTTGCCAATGCTGAACTATGCCACCAGCTATGTCAGCTGCAGACATTGACAACCAGAATTAGTCCCAGGGCCCAAATTACTGCCAGTTTTACCCACAAATTAGAACAGAGTCAGAACTCAACCACATTTTGAACAATTTTGCATTATCTAAAATATAACCTAGCTGGCCTAAGTAATAAACAAAACCAATGTGTGGAGCAACTCATCAAACAGAATTCAAATTGAATATCCAAAAAATAATAAACCTCAACAGATATTGATTTTATAAAACAATCACATCACAGAATGTACGAGTCATCTCATTTACTACATTCTCAGATTATTAATAATTATTATTTATTAATGATAAGCAACACATCGAAGTTAATCTCATGCAATAGAGGGAAAACAACAAAAAAAACTAACACATACAAGGTAAAAGTTGTACTATCCACTTCAGTGTACTGCGTGCTTGGGTTCACCTTGAGTCATCCAAAATAACGAGTAACGACGCGATTTTACGTCAATGTTCACATGTTTCATCTTACTTTGATTAACTTATTCTGAGTCTAGAACTGATTCTAAGTTGAAACAACTCTAAATAGAAACACCCACACATGAATTACTTCATTCCAAAATGAATTTAATCGGAATCAATTTTACGGAAAGAAACGTGGAATGGCCTCCATCACCTTTGGGTTGTGGCGGTTGCGAGTAGTTATTGTTGTGGCCTCTCTTCCTTTTCCAATTCCTATACAAACAGAAGAAAATACCTCCAATGATAAGCATACCTACCGAACCTAAAACGACGCCTATAATTATTCCGTTCAATGTACCCCTCGGCATCCCGTCATCATGATTGGGCGGAGTGGCGGCCACCGCCGGCGCCGGCGGAGAAGCGGCGGCATTGGTGGCGTCGGGAGGCGGAGGAGGGGAGACAGTGGCGGGAGAGGTCGCCGACGGCGGAGGAGAGGCGGTGGAGTTAGTGGCGGGAGAAATCGCGGGCAAAGGCGACGACATGGGCGGCGAAGGCTCCGGTTAGAGCGAGGGTTTGGAAGAAAAGAAGAGTGTGTGTGTGTCTGTGTGAAAGGATTCACGATATGCATCATGACATACATGGAAATTTGAGGAGGAAAAAAGAAGAATGTGGTGGACCCTATTGCGATAGTGATAGCTACTACATCTTTGTTTTTGTTTCAAATGCCAGATTCTGTGCTTCCACTTCGTCGTTTTACTTGCTTCCTTTTGCGTTTTGCTCCAACTTCCCAACCCCGGAGAAAGAAGAACGACGGCACGTGCGTATGTGTAAAAATATCTTATTCCACTTTTTGTTTTATAACCGAAAGAGACACTCCTTCTATTGAAAAATAAAATGTAAAATAAATCACTAATCATTTTTGTTACTAATTACTTCCTTGTTTTGTTAATATATAATAAAAAAAATATCTAGTATCAATGTGTATTGTTATTGTAAAATTTTAATTAAAAAATATTTTAAAAAAATATCTTTTTATTTTTTTTATTTTTTTATTGAATTTAATATATATAAATAATCAGTGTATTGACAACTAATTAAAAAAAGTATATTGTTTGACTTTAAAGCAGTTAGAAGTTGAGATTAGATCATAGGTAGTCAACAAACTTTACATGTATCTTTTAATGATTCAATTCAATTTTATTTCCATTTTATATAGATAACATGTATGACAACGAGTCAACGAGATGATAGACGAGGTATAAGGGTGAGCCATGTTTAGGAACGACAATAAGAAAATAATTTAACTCACTAAAACATAGTTTTTGTGTTGGACTTTAACAAATCTGTCCAGAATTTTCCTTAATTGTCTGTCGTTTTTAACTTTTTGGTACAGTTATTTTCTTATTCAATTTATTTCTATATATTTTTAATTCAAATAATATATAAAAGAGTAAATATTTTATTTGGTTTCTAGAAAATTAATTGACACGTATTGGATTTTAACAAAAAAAAAATTCAACAAATAATTTATTTTTGTAGGACAATGAGTAATTCATTAGAAAACACTTTTATCCCCCAGCTCCCATCCTTTTGGGTTGACATAAACTCAAGATGGTAGTGATGAGAAACCTGGAAAGACTCTAGGATTTTTTACTCTCTTGTTTACAAATACATCGAGGCGTGCGGGAATACCACGAAAGGCTGGTGCATATAAAATTATAAATACATCTTTTATGTTAGACTTGGGAGGATCTAACGTAAATTTTAAAAATTTACGTCAGATGTATATTGTGTCTGACATAGATTTTATGTTGGACACTACTGAGTCCGATGTAAACAATTTCACAAAAATTATAAAAATGTCACCGTATCTTTTTTACGTCAATTTTTGATATGTCTGATAATAAAGAGGTGACGTAATAGACTAATTTTTCATTAGTATCTATACATAAATAAAAATAATAATAATAACTTTAAGAAAAAATAAGAATAAAAAAACATTTTCAATAAACTTTTATTTAGTGTAAATTGTTTAATTATTATAGCAGTTTCTAAGAAATTATTGTATAATTTAATTTTTATATACTTTAATAATTATGAAAAACGGTGTGAAAATAAAAATTTAACTCTCCCTACTTAACCGGAAAAAAAAAAAACAAATCCACTAAAAATGAGTTATCTCTTTTGTAAAAGTTGAGTATGTACCAATTTGGATATAATCGTCATATCTAAACACATTTTTAATTGTCTAAACTTTATTAGAACTCGTGAAATATTGAAATCACATGCGATACCACTTTTTATGTAACCAGACTTATTTTAAAATTCTAATTTATAGATAAAGGATTTTTTTTTGTACTAACCACCCAAAAGGTTTACTAAGATTTAAAGAGTATATGTCTATAAAAAAAGTATATCGAGAAAAAAACAAAATAAAAAAAATTAAGCAAGAAAATTGGTACATGGTGCATTGAGAAATTAAATTGAGAGAAAATTATTGTTCTTAAAAGCAAATACTCAAATTTAATGTATTGAAGCTAATTAATAAATTATATAAAAATAATACTGATGTTTTAAAGTAGGGCCCAGGCCTAATAATAGTGGTGGTGGAGCCAAAAAATGACAGCAACCAAGAGTACTACTATAAGAGGTTAGTGGTGAGGTTTCTTCGGATTCTGAGGGCTTCCCTTATTCCATTGAATTAATGTGACATTTTAGGTCGAGTACTTCTTCTACGTATCTACCATTGCCATCATCGTAGGGCAACCAAAACCCTCTTATGTTTCCACCTTATTATACGAAACCCGTTATATAGATTCCAAATCTTTTCATTCACTACCAAAATCAACAAAAACAAGTTAATTAATGCCATACGCAGACCTTTGGGTTGTGGTGGCGTCTCTTCCTATTCTTATTCCTATTGGCATTTGTATAGAATCAGATGAAAATGCCGATGCATGGCCACATAACCAAACACAACCCCTACGATCACGTTGATAAGGATAAGTATTTCTAAAAGGTTTACGACTCACAATAAAGAATTTGTCATGAGAGATTTTATCGAAGGTATAATCTAATTTTATTCATAAATTTTTATTTATAAAAAGAATTTGTTATACAAAATCAAATATTAATATTATCTTATTTTAAAAATTTAGCTCCTTTTTTTTTACCATTATAGCTTAATTTTTAAAAATTATTATCAAAGTGGAGTTATTTTTGAACAATTCATTACTCTGGAATCGTCAACAACAAGAAGGTTGTCAATCAACACAGTGACACTCATGTTATGTAGTTAACTATTATTTTAATATGTACAATACACACATTAAATATTTATTATATATAATTCAAATTTATAATAAATTATTTATAAAAATAAATGGTATATATTTAAATATATATAAATTATATTTAAAATGTGTATAAATAATTTTTTTAAATATATAATTTATATTTTAAATTTATAATAAATAAATTTTTAATAATCTCTACGTAAAAATTGTTACTGATTGCATCGTCATCAATATCACGGAAGATACTAAAATTTATTAAAATATATTTTTAAAAGGTGTTGTTGTATTTCATAATGATACATATTTAGTTTTTTAATAGTGTAATTATAGATTATTGTTATACTTGATTTTTTTATTTATTTTAAAATGGTGTTATTGTAATTCACAACGATAGTCTTTTTTCTAAATTGTGTAGGTATGAATTATAGTTATATTCTCTTATTTTATTTTTTAAAACTCTCATCTTGAAACATAAAATATTAAAATTCATTATTAATATATAAATAATATAGGAGAATTTGAACGTAAAATTTAATTAAAATATTGTACATACTAATATCTTAAAAAAAATTATGATTAAAAATCGTGAGTTATAGTGCATGCATGAGATTATAGTAGACTTTTATTTTAAAAATCATAATTGAAGTGATAAGTCTTTTTGTATTTCCTGCTTCTGAAGAAAAGTACGAGAGTGACAACGTATGTGATAGTGTAAAATAAATAAAAGTGTAATTATAGCCTACATTTACAAAATTAAAATAAATAAATAAAAGTTAAATAATAAAAAGGTGAATGTAACTATAGCCTACAACTACATGTACACGCCATTCAAAGAGTCATTGTGTATTACAACAACACCATTAAAAAGTTAATAAAAAAAAAGGAGAGTATAGATGTATTCTACAACTACACTATAAATAAATGTTAAAAAAATGTCATTGTGGATTACAATACATTTTTAAAAAATATATATATTTTAATAGGTTGTAACATACTACATCATTGATGTAAAAGTCGTTACAGTGAGTAGTATCATTATAAATTATAGTAACTTTTACATTAGTACTGTGTTATACTCAAAATTTGTCAATTTTTTTTTAAATGATAATAAAAATTGATAGGTGTCATTAGTGTTGTTAGGTTGATTAGTGATCTCCAATGGTCACCCTCAAATGATAAATTGCTTCTGACCAGTCTTACTTTGATGAAAAATATTAAAATAATCTACCTTACAATGCTAAAAAGCCCATTATTTATGTGCCATGAAATTATTTTTAAATTCTTCAATGATATATATATATATATATATATATATATATATATATCATATTGTTATCCTAACTAATGTCAAGTATCACGATCGATTTCAACAAAAAGGAGTACATGATATGCGGGGACCAAACAATTCTTTCTATAAAATGCTTATAAGCATATATTTATTATTATCTCTTGCATTTTTTATATTTACTCGATGTGTTTGTATCTAACTAATATTCTATTTGTTGATTGGTTATTACAAGACAATTAATGAGAGGAGAGGACAAACTTTTTATTACAATATTAACAAATATCAAAATATCATATATAAAATATATTTATCAAAATATTATATTTATTATTTATGTTAAGAAATTGGTTTTTCACCAACCAATTTCTCACCTTAATTTTTCACATATATATAGAAGTTATTGGTTCACTAGTAGCCAATATTTCTTTATTACAATTTTTTTTACAATATTATTTCTTTTATAATATTGTTACTTTTTATATAATATATAATTTATATTTAATTTGTTAACTTAAATATTAGTTAATAAATAGTAAATATAATATCTTATTAAATATATTTCAAGGCATGATATTTTGATAAATTAATTATTTTTTGTGATATTGTAATAAAAAAAGTCGAGAGAGAATATGATATAAGATTGAGATTTCATTAATGATAGACAAAATTTTTATTACAATCAAGAAAGTTATTAAAAATAACTTGAATTATGGAATATATGTTAAAATTTAATAATTAATTCCTAAATCACCAATATCATCTAGAAATGCATTAAAACATATTAGATCATCAATTTAAAAAAAAATTAAATGATAGAATTTATTGACCTAGCACAGCAATTGTACCAACTTGTTTTTCATCATATTTGAATAAACATTTTATAATGATATAACACTACTCTATAATTAACTCGTCAAAATTATATAAATTAGTCGTCTAATGACATAAGACTTAAGTAACATGTTGAATGAGAATAGAGACCTCCCATTACATATTAATTAATAGCTCAATCCAGCATACGCTAATCAAAATAAAATTTCAATACAACTCCATCGATCAAATAATTTGATGATATAATAATAATAATTATTAATCATAATTAATATATTAATAATCAAATAATATTTTAAAAAATGGTTAATGTTAATCATACAAGTAGATTAATTAAATATAACTAATCTA